CCACAGAGAACCACAGAGACCCACAGAGACTCACGGAAACTCACAGAGACCCACAGAGACTCACAGAGACCCACAGAGACCCACAGAGACCCACACAGAACCAGAGAGACCCACAGAGACCCACACACAGACCCACAGAGACCCACAGAGACCCACACAGAACCACAGAGACGCACAGAAAGCCACAGAGACCCACACAGACCCACACAGACCCACATTGACCCACACACAGACCCACAGAGACCCACAGAGACTCACAGAGACTCACAGAGACCCACACAGAAGCACAGAGACCCACACACAGACCCACAGAGACCCACACAGAACCATAAACCCACAGAGACTCACACAGAACCAGAGACACACAGAGAACCATAGAGACCCACAGAGACTCACAGAGACCCACACAGAAACCCACACATAGACCCACAGAGAATTACAGAGACTCACAGAGACCCACAGAGACCCACAGAGACCCACAGAGACTCACAGAGACCCACACAGAGACTCATAGAGACCCACACAGAGACCCACAGAGACCCACACAGAACCACAGAGACCCACAGAGACCCACAGAGACCCACAGAGACACCCACAGAGACTCATAGAGACCCACACAGAGGCCCACAGAGACCCACACAGACCCACAGAGACCCACAGAGACCCACACAGACCCACAGAGACCCAAAGAGACCCACAAAGACCCACACAGAGACCCACAGAGACCCACACAGAGACCCACAGAGACCCACACAGAGACCCACACAGAGACCCACACAGATCCACAGACACCCACACAGAGACCCACAGAGACCCACACAGACCCACAGTGACTCACATACACCCACACAGAGACCCACAGAGACCCACAGAGACCCACACAGACCCACACAGAGACCCACACAGAGACTCACAGAGACCCACACAGAGACCCACAGAGACCCACACAGACCCACAGTGACTCACATACACCCACACAGAGACCCACAGAGACCCACAGAGAACCACAGAGACCCACACAGAGACCCACACAGAGACCCACACACAGAACCATAGACACCCACAGAGACCCACAGAGACCCACACAGAGACCCACACAGAGACCCACACAGAGACCCACACAGAGACCTACACAGAGACCCACACAGAGACCCACACAGAGACCCACAAGACCCACAGAGACCCACACAGAGACCCACACAGAGACCCACACAGAGACCCACACAGAGACCCACACAGACACCCACACAGACCCACAGAGACCCACACAGAGACCCACACAGAGACCCACACAGAGAGACCCACAGAGACCCACACAGAGAGACCTACACAGAGACTCACAGAGACCCACACAGAGACCCACACAGAGACCCACACAGAGACCCACACAGACCCACAGAGACCACACAGAGACCCACACAGAGACCCACACAGAGACCCACACAGAGACCCACACAGAGACCCACACAGACCCACAGAGACCCACACAGAGACCCACACAGAGACCCACACAGAGAGCCACACACAGACCCACAGAGACCCACACAGACCCACAGAGACCCACAGAGACCCACACAGAGACCCACACAGAGACCCACACAGAGACCCACAGAGACCAACAGAGACCCACACAGAGACCCACACAGACCCACACAGAGACCCACACAGAGACCCACACAGAGACCCACACAGAGACCCACACAGAGACCCACACAGACCCACAGAGACCACACAGAGACCCACACAGAGACCCACACAGAGACCCACACAGACCCACAGAGACCCACACAGAGACCCACACAGAGACCCACACAGAGACCCACACAGAGACCCACACAGAGACCCACACAGAGACCCACACAGAGACCCACACAGAGACCCACAGAGACCCACACAGAGAGACCCACACAGAGACTCACAGAGACCCACACAGAGACCCACACAGAGACCCACACAGAGACCCACACAGAGACCCACTCAGAGACCCACAGAGACAGACCCACACAGAGACCCACACAGAGACCCACACAGAGACCCACAGAGACCCACAGAGACCCACAGAGACCCACACAGAGACCCACACAGAGACCCACACAGAGACCCACACAGAGACCCACACAGAGACCCACACAGAGACCTACAGAGACGCACAGAGACCCACAGAGACCCACAGAGACCCACACAGAGACCCACACAGAGACCCACACAGAGACCCACACAGAGACCCACACAGAGACACACAGAGACCCACACAGAGACCCACACAGAGACCCACACAGAGACCCACACAGAGACCCACACAGAGACCCACAGAGACCCACACAGAGACCCACACAGAGACCCACACAGAGACCCACAGAGACCCACAGAGACCCACACAGAGACCCACACACAGACCCACAGACACCACAGAGACCCACAGCGACCCACACAGAGACCCACACAGACCCACACAGACCCACAGAGACCACACAGCGACCCACACAGAGACCCACACAGAGACCCAGAGACCCACACAGAGACCCACACAGAGACCCACACAGAGACCCACAGAGACCCACACAGAGACCCACACACAGACTAAACGATGTTTATGGTAGCCGCTGAAAGGCCCTAACTGAGCTGTCTGAGCTCTTTGTTGAAGCGATCGACCTGGCCATGACACGCGTGTCGAGAGAGCAGCTCAACCAGGCGGCCAGTGTCACCAGCACCGTCAGCCAAACAACTCTGAACGCGTAGAGACGTCAATTCTAAGTGTGAGAGAGACGCAGACTCCAAATACACAGCAGCAGGAGTAGGCAGCGTCAGGGTACGGGAGAGAACCCACGACCTCCTGCAGGCCAAGCGAAGGAGTCAACATCTCCTTTCCACCAAGTCTTTAGATTAATAATATAAAATAATAATTATTAAACAAAGCTGCTTCCGCTGAAGCCGTGATCGCTATCTGCGGTGACCACGAGGGGGTGAGAAACAGTCGGTTTATTATTTATTTATTTTTACTTTGCTGTTTTAATTTTTTTTTCTCCCTCCACATCTTTAAAGTTCTGTAGTTCGCATCAGGCGAGCAGCCCCGGTAAATAATAGCGACATCACCACCTCTCTCATCTTCATCGTCCAGCCACTCACTCACCCACTCAGACCCTCGCTCACTCACTCACTCACACACTCACACACTCACTCACTCACCCACTCAGACACTCACTCACCCACTCACTCACCCACTCAGACACTCGCTCACTCACACACACACACACTCACCCACTCAGACACTCACTCACCCACTCAGACACTCGCTCACTCACTCACTCACACACTCACACACTCACTCACTCACACACTCAGACACTCGCTCACTCACACACACACACTCACCCACTCAGACACTCACTCACCCACTCAAACACTCACTCACCCACTCACCCGCTCAGACACTCACTCACTCACCCACTAACCCACTCACAAACTCAGACACTCACTCACTCACACACTCACACACTCACTCACACACTCACTCACTCACTCACCCACACACTCACACACTCACACACCCACTCACTCACCCACTCAGACACTCGCTCACTCACACACACACACTCACCCACTCACTCACCCACTCAAACACTTGCTCGCCCACTCGCACACTCACACACTCACCCACTCACTCACTCACCCACTCAGACACTCACTCACCCACTCACTCACTCACCCACTCACACTCACACACTCAGACACTCACTCACCCACTCAGACACTCACTCACCCACTCAGACACTCACTCACTCACACACTCACACACTCACTCACCCACTCAGACACTCACTCACCCACTCAGACACTCACTCACCCACTCAGACACTCACTCACCCACTCACTCACACACTCACCCACTCACTCACACACTCACACACTCACTCACACACTCACACACTCATTCACTCACTCACACATTCACTCAACCACTCAGACACTCAGACACTCACCAACTCACTCACTCACCCACTCACCTACTCAGACACTCACTCACACACTCACTCACTCACACACTCATACACTCACTCATACACTCACACACTCACTCACTCACACACCCACTCATACAATCACTTACCCACTCACTCACTCACCCACTCACTCACCCACCCACTCACTCACCCACTCACACACTCACCCACACAGACACCCACTCAGACACTCACTCATCCACTCACTCACACACTCACTCACCCACTCATACAGTAAATCACTCACACACTCATACACTAAATCACTCACACACTCATACACATAACCACTCACACACTCACTCACACACTCATACACAACCACTCACACACTCACCCACTCATACACGTAACCACTCACACACTTACTCACTCACACACTCACTCACACACTCACTCACTCACACACTCACCCACTCACCCACTCATACACTCACTCACACACACCCATACACCCACCCAACTTACACATACATACAAACTCACTCATGCATACACTCACCCACTCATTCATTCACCCACAAAACGTTCAGCATACAGTACATATGTACACTCGCCCACCTACACATATACAATAACAACCGCCATTCACCACGAAGTGGCGGTGATATCACCACGACGCTTGTGCCAGGCTAGGTGCACGTTAAGGCCACGTGAAGTGTCGAACGCCCGCCGGCAGGAGGTCACGGGGCAGACCCAACAGGTGCCACGGGTCGACTGACTGAGACGACTGGCTGATGCACCACCTGTGCCCCCTACTGTGCCCACCTGCTCTGTTTTAGCTGCCCGACCTCCTGTATACCAGGCGAGGTAGTTAACATCTCACCACGGGGAGAGAGAGACGCAGACTCCCAATATACAACAGCAGGCGTAGTCAGGGTCAGGATCGAACCCACGACCTCCTGTGTACCTGGCGAGGTAGTTAACATCTCCTAGCCACCGTGAGGTGACATTAATAACAACACCTCTGACAAGGGATTCATCACGTGCTGGACTCACCGATTCTCTGCTTGAATATTTTCTCAAACGCCACCTCTCCCCTCTCCTCCAGGTACTTCTGCATCACGCTGCGAATACTGAGGGAGAGACACACACGCACAGACATTACATACACACACAGAGACACACACACACAGACATTACATACACACACAGAGACACACACACAGCCATTACATACACACAGAGACATACACACACAGACATTACATACACACAGACATTACATACACACACAGAGACACACACACAGACATTACATACACACAGAGACAACACACACAGAGACACACACACAGACATTACATACACACAGACATTACATACACACAGAGACACACACACAGACATTACACACACACAGACATTACATACACACAGACATTACATACACACAGACACACACAGACATTACATACACACAGACATTACATACACACAGACATTAGATACACACAGAGACATACACAGAGACACACACACAGACATAACATACACACACAGAGACACACACACAGACATTACACACATACACAGACATTACATACACACAGAGACACACGCACAGACATTACGTACACACAGAGACACACACAGACATTACATACACACAGAGACAACACACACAGACATTACATACACACAGTGCCATTACATACACACAGAGACACACGCACTGACATTACATACACACAGAGACACACACACACAGACATTACATACACACAGAGACACACACACACAGACATTACATACACACAGAGACAACACACACAGACAATACATACACACAGAGACACACACACACAGACATTACATACACACAGAGACAACACACACAGACAATACATACACACAGAGCCATTACATACACACAGAGACACACGCACAGACATTACATACACACGCACAGACATTACATACACACAGACATTACATACGCACATACACACACAGACATTACATAGACACACACACACACAGACATTACATACACACAGAGACACACGCACAGACATTACATACACACACACAGACATTACATACACACATACACACACAGACATTACATAGACACACACACACACAGACATTACATACACACAGAGACACACGCACAGACATTACATACACACACACAGACATTACATACACACAGAGACACACGCACAGACATTACATACACACAGAGACACGTGCACAGACATTACATACACACAGAGACACACACACACACAGACATTACATACACACAGAGACAACACACAGACATTACATACACACAGAGACACACGCACAGACATTACATACACACACACAGACATTACATACACACAGAGACACACGCACAGACATTACATACACACAGAGACACATGCACAGACATTACATACACACAGAGACACACACACACAGACATTACATACACACAGAGACAACACACACACACAGACATTACATACACACAGAGACAACACACAGACATTACATACACACAGAGACACACACACAGACATTACACACACACAGAGACACAACAACAACAACAACCGCCATTCGCCACTAAGAGACGTCACCACGACGCTTGTGCCAGGCCATGTGCACCTTGAGGCCACGTGAAGTGTCGAACGCCCGCTGGCAGGAGGTCACGGGGCAGACCCAGGTGCCACGGGTCGACTCACTGAGATGACTGGCTGGTGCACCACCTGTGCCCCCTACTGTGCCAACCTGCTGTGCTTTAGCCACCCGGCGCTCCGCTCGTTGTTGTGAGCGTCGCTCCTCCGCCCTCCGTTGTTGTTGGAGGGCGACTGCCTCCAACTGCCCAGTAGCGTCCTTCACGAGCCTCCTCCACAGAGGCCGATCTTGACACCGCTGGTACCGGTCATCGGCAAGTCCACTCAAGCTCCACGTCTTCCTGTACCACATCACTCCATCTCTTCTCTAGCCCGTGCCGCGCCCACTTAGCCCCCTCGATCCGGCCGAACAAAAGCTGTTTCGACATGTGGTGGCTGGGCATGCGGGCTACATGACCCAGCCAATGCAGCCTTGCCTGCCGGAGGAGCTCACCGATGGGACCTTGCCCAGATCTTTCAAGGATTTGTGAGCTCCTCAGACAATCCAGCCTGGTTAAACCCAGGATGGCTCGTAGGCAGGCCAGCCTAAATGTTTCTAACTGGCGAAGATGTTCCATTAGGGGGGTCCATGTTTCGCAAGCGTAGAGAAGGGAGGGAATGACCGTGGCCGAGAAGACCTGAAGCTTAGTGCGGAGCAACAGACCAGGTAGCTTCCACACAGCGTTACGCAACCGATGAAAAGATATTGCCGCTCAACTGATTCGGAGTGAGACCTCTGCTGTTAAACTGGAGCCAGTCATAAGCACACTACCCAGGTATGGGAAACTCTCCACTCTCTCTACAACTGCCCCATCACCGATCGGGAGTTGTGGGGGTGGAGTGTCCAATGGTACAAAATACCCTGGCAGGTGCTTAGTTTTGGTGGGGCTGATGGTAAGGCTCCATCTCTTAGTGGCACGCTCCAGTCTCAGCAGCAGCGTCTCCAACTCCTCCTCTGAATGAGCATCTATTACCAAATCATCGGCATACATAACGTGGTTGACCAATAGGGAGCCATCCCTTGACCGCACCCGGGCATCGATCAGCCTCCCATTATATCTGTACCAGATGGAGATTCCCCCGGTACAGCTAGTGAAGACTTCACGAACTACGTGGTCAAAATAGATGTTAAATAATGTGGGAGCCAGAGGACATCCCTGTCGCACCCCAAGGTGTACAGGGAATGGCTCTGACTCCCGGCCACGTAGTTTTACCTCGGCCCGCTCACCATCATGAAGGTCCTTAATGATCGTGAGCAGAGGGTCAGGGACTCCAAAAACACGAAGAACAACCCAGAGCCCAGGCCTACTGATGGTATCATAGGCCTTGACCAGGTCAATAAAGCAGAGATGTAGGTCTTGCTGGAATTCCCCACATCTCTGCTGTAGCAGACGGACAGAAAATATGGCATCTGTGCAGGACCGCCCTATTCTGAAACTGAATTGAGACGCATAAACACACACACATAGACACACACAGACACACACACATAGACACACACACATAGACACACACACATAGACACACACACAGACATTATATACACACAGAGCCATTACATACACACAGAGCCATTACATACACACAGACATTACATACACACAGAGACACCCACACAGACATTACATACACACAGAGCCATTACATACACACAGACATTACACACACACATAGACACACACACAGACATTACATACACACAGAGAAACACACACAGACAATACATACACACAGAGACACACATACAGACATTACATACAAACACAGACATTACATACACACAGACATTACATATACACAGAGACACACACAGACATTACATACACACAGACATTAGATACACACAGAGACATACACAGAGACACACACACAGACATAACATACACAAAGAGACACACACACAGACATTACACAGACACACACAGAGACACACACACAGACATAGCATACACACAGAGACACACACACAGACATTACACAGACACACACAGAGACACACAGACACACATAGAGACATTACACACACAGACACACACAGAGACACACACACAGAGACACACAGACACACATAGAGACACACACACAGACACACACAGAGACAATCACACACACACACACAGACACACACAGACACACAAAGACAAAGATCCCCCATGTAGTCTTAACAGGCTGTAGGGGCAAGTGCTGTTAGCGAGGAGCACCTATGAAGGCCGGCACGGCACAGGAGGGGGTGGGTGGCCAGCACCACGCCCGACCGCCTTTGTCTCCCCAGTGGCGATGTTTACTACACCGCTACACCAGGTACTCATTTGAGGCTCAGTCGACCTAGGGGAGGCCCAGGACTGGTTCAGACAATCGCTGATGATGTTGGGGCTGATGACGGTGGTGATGATGACGGTGGTGATGGTGATAATGGTGGTGATGGTGGTAATGGTGGTGATGGTGATAACGGTGGTGATGATGACGGTGGTGATGACGACGGTGGTGATGGTGATAATGGTGGTGATAATGGTGGTGATGGTGATAATGGTGGTGATGATGACGGTGGTGGTGATGACGGTGGTGGTGATGGCGATAATGGTGGTGATGGTGATAATGGTGGTGATGATGACGGTGGTGATGGTGATAATGGTGGTGATGATGACGGTGGTGATGGTGATAATGGTGGTGATGATGACGGTGGTGATGGTGATAATGGTGGTGATGATGACGGTGGTGATGGTGATAACGGTGGTGATGATGACGGTGGTGATGGTGATAATGGTGGTGATGATGACGGTGGTGATGGTGATAATGGTGGTGATGATGACGGTGGTGATGGTGATAATGGTGGTGATGATGACGGTGGTGATGGTGATAATGGTGGTGATGATGACGGTGGTGATGGTGATAATGGTGGTGATGATGACGGTGGTGGTGATGGTGATGATGATGGTGGTGATATTGAGTATAAATTATAACCGTGTCACGTGACACATGCACCATCGCACTTCCTCATTCGAGTGACAGCCCTCGACTCATTAGCATAACGAGCAACCAATCAGTATCGAGGAAAGGGGGGGAGGGGTTAGGGGGGTTGAGGGGAGGGGTTAGGGGGGTTGAGGGGAGGGGGTTAGGGGGGTTGAGGGGAGGGGTTGAGGAGGGTTGAGGGGAGGGGTTAGGGGGTTGAGGGGAGGGGTTTGGGGGGTGAGGGGAGGGGTTTGGGGGGTGAGGGGAGGGGGTTAGGGGGGTTGAGGGGAGGGGTTAGGGGGGTTGAGGGGAGGGGTTTGGGGGGGTGAGGGGAGGGGTTAGGGGGTTGAGGGGAGGGGTTAGGGGGCTGAGGGGGAGTGAGGGGAGGGGTTAGGGGGGTTGAGGGGAGAAGTTAGGGGGGTGAGGGGAGGGGGTTAGGGGGGTTGAGGGGAGGGGTTAGGGGGGTTGAGGGGAGGGGTTAGGGGGGTTGAGGGGAGGGGTTAGGGGGTTGAGGA